GAGAGAGAGAGAGAGAGAGAGAGAGAGAGAGAGAGAGATAGCATGTGCGTGTCCGTATACGTGTTTTTGTGTGTTTAAGATTTATGATAATATTATACCAGTGTTGTCCTCCAGCAACACACCCAGACAAAAACAACAGAGGGAAGAGAAAGAGAGCTCAACTCGTTAATGAAACTACTAAGGCCCATGGCCACCTTGCGTGCAGGTTTATTCTATCATCTACCCGCATATTTTGCAAGCCCGCTGCCACCTCACTCACCCATCGCCGAAGGAATTTGACGGGGGAGGACGACAAAGACAAGGGAAAGGATAGATAAGAGCACATGTTTGACTTACACAGAGGATTGTTGAAAGTGAGAAGAGAGCGACGTATATATATTAGACCTCGCTCTCTGGCTAAGGAACAACGTGTCTGATGGCAAGATAAAGACAAGACGATCAGATAAGTATCAAGGTGCAGGAGGCTGCCAGAATGTCATCCATGTTGAAGAAGGGCAGACCGCTTAGAGCAGGGCTGTGCCAACCTCAATTTACACGGGAGCCACTGTGGGTTAAGTAATGGAATGAGTGAGCCTGGGCCGCATCAAATTAAATATTCCACTAAAAAGGGCTTAAGTAAGCGTAATATTAATTGTTTAAAGTACAACCGATTCGTTTTCCTTAATCTTTATTGATAGTATTTCAGAACAGGAATCGTTTTTCACCCCTGGAAGCTGACGCCAGCCTGGGCTACGGTAGACCATTAGTGATATATTAAATTTATTTAAAGATCAGAAAAATCCAGGGCAACACCTCGGTATCAATCAGCGTTTGAGAAAAACGTGAGCACCAGACTAACAGTAAACTTTGATGTCAAGTAAAAACCTCGAAAATATCATACTGCGAGCTTCAATTATTGACCCTCAGGCCTCGACATTCAGTGCTTAGAGTAGAGGTATCACCAGAGCCTCGAAGTCCCAGCTACCTTGGGTCTGAGAGCCCGTGATAAGAGCACTTATAATATTCTGTGATAGATAGAGAAGCATCTATTAGGCCTATTTTGTTTGGTGTGTTTGTCTAAAATGTCTCGATTTAGTAATTTGACCTTTGACCTTAAAAATCAATTGACAAAAACAAAACTGCTGCTACTGGTGTGGTGCTGGTGTCTTCTACTACTACTATCATCATCTTCATCATCATTATCATCATCTTCATCATCATTATCAACATCATCATCATCTTCTTCTTCTTCTTCTTCTTCTTCTTCTTCTTCTTCTTCTTCTTCTTCTTCATAATATCTATCTTCAACATCAAGTGTTTTCATAAACTCCTCGGGTTCTCAGCCTTAGGACAGAAAACAGAAACATTAGACACCAGCAAAATACAGCTAGTTTGTTTCTGCTAACAATGGGAGTTGCACAGTCTCCGTCAATAGCAAGCTTTTGTTCATATTATACATGTAGCCTACATTTATTGTAATACAGTGTAGTTTGAAACAGGGAAGGGCAACAACTTGCCCACAAACTAAATACATAATCGAAATAAACGAGTCACCTCCCCTTTCATCGCAGAAACGATACGACTCACTGTGACAATTATTATTACGCAAGCCTCGGTCTCACCGTTCTTTTTATAAAGTAAACTTTGACCCACATTTCTACAAGGTTGTTTAACTCTTACAATTTGTGGGCCTATTTCCTGCTTTGTAGTGGAAAGTTTATTTTAAAATATTAATGCATCAGCATTAACAGCACAGATTTCAAACTACAAGCATGTATTATAAAACATTTTTTTAAAGAACCGAATGAAGATTTGATACAATGAGAGAATATAGTAAAGTGCAGAAAAGAGTATATCTATGACTGTTTAAGGAGGAAAACCACCAAAACCCCCTTATAATGCAGCATCTAGTCAGTAATTTTGCCGTCTGCTAAGAGGTAATAGGATGAACCAAGAGGCTGAGCGAATAAATCGTTCGCCAGGTCGTTATAACATTCTCTGCCCTTTACACATGATGGTATTCCAACCTGCTTCCGTACAGATTAGTATATATTTACACAGATAACAAGCAAAAACAGGTCACAGAAGGCTGAGCTGGGTGGGTTCCGATTTCAATTACATCAGTTTCAGGACAACAAGTGTCAAAGAGCAGAGGTAAAAGGTCAAACGACTGAACCCATGTGGTCTAAATCACCAAGGTAGACAAATTATGAGTGATCACATATTATCTGTCACGGAGTGAAGGGAAAAGAGGAAAGGGTGGCGGGGGAGGGGGGTCCTTAGACAAACACGAAACCCCAGAAATAATTAGTTAGCCTGAAAGGTCAAACATGTGAACAGACACAAACAAACAAACAAACAAACAAATGAATTGTATCGCCATATTTATATGCTCTCGGAAGTTTGGGAGGTTCAGATCGGGGCTAACAACCCAGACTGGTAAAAATAATATGTTACGGAAACAGCAACAAAGAGAAACCATTCATATACTATGGCTTTACGCATGTCCGAGCTCAAAGTTCCAGACGTGCAAATGGCGACCTGGACATGACGTATTTTACCACACAACCAGTGTGCTGACGTCATAACAATTATGTCTGAAAAATGCTAAAATAACAGCGTTTGATTTGCCCCATCCATGAAGCAAACAAGTCGGGCTGCTCCAAACTCAAATCTCGAATAGGTTCAAGTCAAAGTTTCAAACGAATCAAATTGGCATCGTGACCTAGGTAGGGGGTGTTGACCTCTGGAACAACGCAAGAGTGACAACAAGGTCGATCAGTGCATCTTGGAGATACTTACGCTCTACGTCAACTTGGTGGTGGCTCTTTGGCACACCGTTGCGTGTATCGGGATGTCTGGTGTCGTTTTATCATGAAGAAGAAGAAGAAGAAGAAGAAGAAGAAGAAGAAGAAGAAGAAGAAGAAGAAGAAGAAGAAGAAGAAGAAGAAG